CAATAGCTACTTAGACAACTCACCTAGAATATTATCCACTGGGAACTTTCCTTTCTGAAGACTGTCATCGAGCTTGGGGATTGTCCTCCTGGGAGTGGCCACGAAATGCAGATTTGCTCGTAATCAAGTCAGACAACAAATAATGAAACTCAGTCCTCTTGTCTGTGAAATGGGGATAAACATGTTGACTCTAGAACCCATTTATTTATTCAACAAATACAGAGTACCTAGTGTACGCCAGGTACTGTCCTAGGTGCTGGAGATTCAACAGGAAACAAAGCAGGGATTTTTTTCCTCATTGAGTTTACATCCAAGTGAGGGAGACAAATATTTAGAAATTAATAGACCAATACACAATACAGTGTCGGTAGTGGTAGAAACAATGAAGAAAAATAGCAAGATATCTTAGGTAAGGTGTTTAGTACAGAGTCTCTACTATAATACACGCTCAATAAAAGGTGGCCTTTTATATGCCTCTTATTGTTCAAATTATGACTTACTACACAGTATCTAAAGTGAACCCCTTAAAAGCTAAGTCAGTTCATGTCAATCCTGTGTTCAAAACCTTCTAATGACATCTCATCGCACTTAGAATAAAAGCCACAGTGTTCACTATGGTTTAAAGCAGGGTTTCCCAACCTTGCCACTGTTGACATTGGGACCAGGCACTTCCTTGTGGGGGCTGTCCCGTGCCTTGTAGGATGTTAAGCAGCATTTTTAGACTCTACACACTAGATGCCGGTACCACCGCCCGACATGTGACCACCAAAGTGTCTCCAGACCTTGTTAGATGTTCCCTGGGAGAACCGCTGGCTTAAAGGCCCCACATGAACTAGCCTTGAACTACTGCTCCGGTTTGCCTCCTACTGTTTCCTTCCTCACTCACTCTGCTCTGGCCGAAATGGCCTCCTGGTTCTTCCTCTAACAATCATGTCCCTGTCTGGGAGCCTTTGCGTCTGCTCTCCTCTGTGCCTGGTGCAGCCTTCCCTGGGATATCTATTCCGCTGCTCCCTGCTCGGAGTTGCCGTCCCTGACCTCCATAAAGGACACCCCCTGTCACTATTCTGCCTCCCAGCACTCATCACCACTTGACACTGTGTGCGTTTGTTTGACTTCTCTTTGAACGTGTCCCATCTCGCTCTACAATGTAAGCTCCATGGGACAGGGCCTCGGATGGTACCACCATGACTGAGAGGAGTGCCTAGTACATAGTGGTTGCTTAATAGATAGTTGTGAAAGAATAAATTAATGGATACATATGTGAGTATTAGAAGAATAGGCAGGGGTCCACAAGATGGAAAAGGCAGGACATGTGTGAGATAATGAAGAAGTCAGCCCAACTGGAATGTAAAGCAGGCCACGAAGTCGGGCTTGGTTGGGTGTGAACAGATTCTAAAGACTGTTGAAACCCAGGTGGGGCACTTCACCCATTACCTCTCAGACAGGGGGAGCCAGAGTCGGTTTATGAGTAGGAGAATGATATTGTAAGGGTTGAGTAGAAATCAGAAGCCTGAATCTAACTAGAAAACAATGCAGTGGGAGCCTGGATCCAATCAGAAGATAACAGTGTTTTGTATGTGAGTGGGATGGTTTCCTCTCTTGTGCCGTCTCTTGTTGGGGCAGGTCGGTTCTAAGCGAGGGAGTGTTTTGACTGATCAATGTTCTGGGTGGCACCAGAAGTGTGTGGTGACTGGAGTGTCAAGCGTTTGCCTTTCCTGTTAAAGGAAACTGGGTCAGATTAACAATCACTAGGCGGTGATTATTAATGAAACAGAGAATAGAGAACTTCTGTAAATCAGAGCTCCCTCGGGTTTCTGGGAAGTACTTTGGTCAAACTGGACAGGTAGTGTCTTGCACCATTCTATGTTAGAAACAACCGGGGGAGTGTTTGGCTGTGTGTTGGCAAGAATGACATCTTGTCAGCCAGCAACCACCTTTCCCATGATAAAATCCATGGAGATGTTATTAAGGCAGCCCTTTGTAGATGAAACTACAGATAATGGTAGGGAGGAATAACTAAGTCACCTTAGAATAATGAGGCAATTTAACCACATCTCTGGGAGGTTTTCCAGTCTTTGTGTTTTGTTAATCTTAAGTAAATTTACGTTTTATATAGTAGTGTTCTCTTTTTCATGTAGTTGCTTAACATGTTTTTGCAAGTGTTACTTTGCTCGTAAACCTTCTTGTAAAATACATGGGTGAAACCTTTAACAAAATACCACCAACCAAACATGTGAAAACACGGGAGAGTGATGGAAAGGATCCAGCCTCAAAAAGCGCTAATGTGTGATTTTGTTTATTTAAAGTGAAAATCAGGCACAACTGACCCACGCTGTTAGAAGTTGGTAAAGAGAGTTGTGACAACCAACAATATCTCCAAATATTGCCAAATATCCCAGTGATCAAAGTCGCACCTGGTTGAGATCCCTATCTTAGATCAGTGTTTCTCAACACTGGCCAAACATTGGAATCATCTGGAGAGCTTTAGAAGCTGTTGCCAGTGCTTGCCTCCATACAGATCAACCAAACAAGACTCTCTGAGGGTGGGGTTGGGCACTGATTTTTAAAAAGTATTCCCTGAGTTTCTGCAAAGACACCCATATCAGAGATGGGGCTGGGAAGTCTTGGCCGAGTCTCTTAAGTTCTACCAAAAGGGAGTTTTTCCATGCTTATCTGGATACTTAACACACCTCTGGCCTTGGCTGAGGATTTCTGAAATTCTGGTCATCTCAGCTGGCGGCAAATCATCCCCATCAGCATCAATTTCAGGATGTTAGTATTGAGAGTCATTTCCAGTGTTTCTTAACTGGGATACTCTTAACAGGTGTAATATGAAATTTTGGACAATTATGATGTCATTTTCCGCTGCCCCTGAGAATGTATATCCCCAACATGGTGGCAATCTGATGGCAGGCTGAGCTGAGTTGAGCTGCATTTTTATGCCATGAGGTTCAGAAAAGGAGATATAGAGCTAGATGTCAAAATCTTGGGATGGAAAGCGTGGATACTGAATGGTGGTGAGGATTGGGAGAGAAGGCGTTGGTCCTGGGTAACTGGAAGGAGGGATGCCATCTAGAAGAATAAAGAATTCCAGAAGGTGAAGCAATTGAGATGAATGGTGATGAATTCTGCCTGAGTGTAGGGTGGCAGCAGGTGGAATTCAGGAGAGCCATCAGAACTGTACCGTGATCTGGGAATCCAGCCACTGTTCAATCCCAGCAGGGCTGCTTTGATTGGTTGCTTATCTTACAGCAAGGCTAGGAGTGACTTCCTCGTGCACCACTGAGAACAAATCCATTGCATGTCTCCTTCTGGAAGAGCAGTTGTAAGTAGTTTGTGCTGTTTGGAGGATTATAGGAGTTCATCCTCTGCGAAGGGAGCTGGCACCAGGAATGGGGACCCCTCTCCACCAGAGAGCTCCCATCATTGGTGTCCCTACTTTGTGTATCCCCTTTCGTCCTGTCCAGGTGCTTGAATCATAGCAGTAAAAAAAAGAAACACGCTTTGGAAAGAGCACATCTAGTTTTGAGAGCAGACTCCAGCATATCCCAGCTGTGTAGCCTTGAACAAATATTTAATATCTCAGCATCTCAGTTGCCTATCTTAATTTAGGAATAACAGTAATATAGAAGAATCACTCATAAAGGTTATGTTCCAGGAAAAGGTATTTATTTCTATTAAAAAATTGAAAGATCTAGCTATTTTCCAAGGCCTCACTACCCAACAGTTACTATTCTTTTAGATTGCCACAGGCAAGGGAGATGGGGTGTGAGTGGTACATTGTCAAGGATTTGCTCTTCCTGAATTAGGAGCTGAATCTCGTATGGCACTTGTATGGCCTTAAGTGTACTAGAGTTGTATTTTATTTATCTACTATTTTATCATACCTTAATCTGTTTTATAGTGGACAGGCAGTGTCGACATGAGAGCTGCCAATCGATGGCAGCTCCCTTTCTCCTTAGTTTCCCACAGCTTTACAGGTAAACAACTTTTGACCCAGAGGACAAGTGCAAATGGGACAGTATGCCAAGGATCTTGGGCTCAAAGGCTACAGGATAGGGTAGGTCATATTAGTGAGGAATGCTGGCAATGAAATATGCGTGCAAACAATGGAACGATGAGTTTTGTTCTGAGAGAATGGCCCACATAAGGGGCAGCCATTGGGATCCCCAGCTTCAGCCCATGAGTTCCATGTAGGAATGTAGGTCCAGAGTTGGCCCATCTCCTGGTTAATCAAGAAAAAATAATTGACCTGAATTTTCAGGTGAAATCATCCTATTTGAAGTATTAGTTTAAATTTGTTACAAAATGCACTGTATGGACCACGCAAAACACATATTCAGGCTGTGTCCTCTTATTGATATATAGTAGGTCCTCAATTTGTGTTTGTCCATTCCACTATCAGAAGTGAAATTCCGCTATGAGAAAAGGCCTTGGTACCTCTGAAGATGCACACCTGCTAAGAGGCTCTGTTTTAAGCTGCTATTGGTTGAAGACAGAATTGACAAAGTGGGGACTTAGAGGAGCTTTACGGACAGGGTCTGGGAAAGATGGGGCTACTGACAGAAAGCAGAGCCGTGGTCCTTGGCTGGCTCATCACTGTAATTAGAATAGCTGTGATGACCTTCTAGGATAGATACTGAGCTGAAATCCTTCTGGTTCCAGGACCTAGAAGTAACCAGTTAAAGGATGTTTAAAATGTATAACAAACATTTTAACAAATCCAGATTTAGTAAAGAGAAGTTTTGTTCCCTCCCCACCAGCCACTCCTGGCCATGCCCTCCCATCAGCATTTCTCCTACCCCAAATTCTCCCTCATTTCCCCTTTTTTGTACAGAAAAACTGTCTGTTTTGGCTTCTCTGCCCATTTCCCGCTTAGCGAATAAAGAAACTCCCTCAAGACCCACTCTGTCCAGAGAACATGGACTATAAATAGCACGTGGTATTTCCTTATTAAATAATTTCTCCTGTCCCCTTTGTCTTGCCTTGACCACTTGCAGGTGGTGATACTGGGATTGGCCATGCTTTGTCCAAGTATCTGGACCAGCTGGGCTTCACCGTGTTTGCCGGAGTTCTGAATGAAAATGGATCAGGAGCAGAAGAATTGCGAAGGACTTGCTCCAAGCGCTTCTCCGTGCTCCAGCTGGATGTCACCAACTCACAGCAGATAAAAGAGGCCTACAGCAAAGTGGTGCAGAAGGTGCAGAACAGAGGTACTGCTTTCCGCCACCCACGCCCTGCATTGCCCTCCACCTCCTTGCCAATGCCCAACACAGGTTCCAGCCTCTAATGACTGCTGCCCTCTAGTCCATTCTGGCTGCTGGCCATATCTGAAGACACCTGCAAGAAGCACCTGCCACCTGCCTCGGCCTCTGGTAGACACGAGCATGCTAGATATGAGTCAGCATGGTCCGTCTTCACAAAATTCTTTATCCTGTTCCCTCCAACATCTGCTCAGTTGCTCTCCCATTAATAATTGCCTCCCACCCCCTCCTCATTTCATTCCTCCCACTAATAGTAAAGTGTATTAGACTTAAAAAAAAAAGCTTCATAATCGCTGTCCTTTCTTAGCCACTTGCCCTGTCTTCCTTCATGGCCAAGCTCTTTGCAAAGCGGCTGCCCTGTTTTCACTTCTTCGCCCTCAGTCTAGCACTGGCTCTCACTGGTCTGGCCCAGCTAATCAGGATTATCCTCAACAACAAGCTCTTAACTTCTCGGCAGTGTTTGAGTGAGTTAAAACCATCACTGAGTGAGAGATGCTAATAGAGGCCGTCTCATCAGCCCTCACCATCCTAATAGCTGTTGAGCTCTTACTACATGCCAGGCACCCTCTCTCTGGATGCTCCCAACATTATTGTGTGTCAATGTCACCAACTCGGGTGTGCAACACATGTGACTTTATGTTCTCTAACTCAGCTCAATTCCTATTTTGAGCCATCTTTCTGACATGTGGCAAAACCCATTTCTGTCATTTTCCGCTTCGTCTCATTTCCCTGGGGTAGCAGCATGTACATTCCTGGGAATGGGACATTTCATTTTGGATTGTCAGTGCTTCATGCTGGACTCTGTGGAGATGCCCGATGCTCCATCCAGCCCTCACGCACCTACCTCCTGGAGGCTATCAGAAGGGCGCTGTTAGGGGCAGTGCCTCCTGCCATTTCTGTGCTCGCCCACCCCGAGGCTCATTCCTCTCCTGTTCATAATACAGGTTTTCACACTTGAGCGTGCAGCAGAATTGCCTGGAGGGCGGGGTGTATCAGGTGCCAAGCTTCAATGGTTTCTGATGCCAGTTTCGGATCCAGCAGGTCTGAGGTGGGGTTCCAGGTTGGCATTTCTAATAAGCTCCCAGTTGATGAGGATGCTGCTGGTTCTGGACCACACCTTGAGAGCCTCTGTTCTAAATGATGCTGAGGTCCTGGGGAACTCAGAGATTCTGCTAAACATACCCTGAGTCCTTGTTACCTTTGTTTCTCTCAGACAAAGGGGACCTGGGTCACTTACCTCTGCTTCAGATCCCTCACTCCCAAAACTTCCAGAGTTTTTCTGTTACTTCTTTCCTACTATTTATGGCAATGGTTCCCAAGCTTCTGTATTGGAATCACCTGGGAAATTGTAAAATTAATGCGAAGGTCTCCTTTCCCCCCCATCCCAGAGTCCTGATCTAATTGGTTGGGATATGGCCTGGGAATTGGAGCTTTAAAAAGACTCCCAAGTGAGCCTAATGTGCAGTCAAGGTTGAAAACAACTAGTTCTGGGCAGTGGTTCTCCAAGTGTGGTCCAGGCCAGCGTCAGCATCGCCTGGGAGCTTGTTGGAAATGCAGATTCTCAGGCCCTACTCCAGATATCTCAAATCAGATTCTCTGGAGGGGGGCCCAGCAATGTGTTTGAATAATCCCTTCTGGTGATTCCTATCAAGGGAATCAGGCTGGTTGGGGAAAAGAATAGAGCTCGGGGTCTCTGCAATCTTCTCAGCTCTTGTGCTCTAGTTTTTCTGTTTCTTGGGACTAGGTCTTCTCATGTAAGGAAAAGGGCAGACAGGCTCTTATGTCATCCTGCATTGTCCTAAAGATATCATACTGTCTGTACACACCCCTTGGAGGGAGAAGCATGAGAAAGGCTCTTATCTAGCTGCATGGATGTAGGAAAGTTCCTTGGAGCAAAAGAAATGCCTCCCCAAAATATTGCTTGATGTTTCACAACCCCTCAAGGTAGGTGGTTGTAGGTATTCAAGGAGACTAAGGTTCCAGAGTGTAAGTGATCTGCCTAGATCCTAAATCTCAAAGGGGCCCTTTTGACTCCAGAACTTGAAGTGTTAAAAATCGTCCCGCTCTCTAGTCTGGACCTACCTCAATGCTGTTCCTTTCTGTTCTCAGGACTGTGGGCTGTGGTCAACAATGCTGGGATCCTTGGCTTACCCACTGATGGGGAGCTCATTCCTATGGCCCACTACAAACGATGCATGGATGTGAACTTCTTCGGGGCTGTGGAAGTCACGAAGGCATTTTTGCCTCTTCTTAGGAAATCGAAGGGGAGGCTGGTGAACATCAGCAGCATTGGAGGTGAGTTGACCTTTCCCCACAAGGTTGGGCAGTGCCCGTGACATAAGACATGGCTTGCTGCATTCTTTGGGGGCTGAACAAGAAAGCAGGACACACTGCTGCAGGACTGGGTCAACAATAGTCAAATTGCATGTTTACTGTTGATCTTAATACCATGAAACCTTTATATCCTTTAGAATCTTTTTACATAAACTCTAACATACCTTCTAACTCATCTATTCATTACTGGGAATTTAGGGTTGTTGCATATTTTCACAGTGTGACTGCCAATGAACAAGCTTCCTAGATCTGGACAGAAAATCCTGCATATAGTTAGTGTCAGCATTACAGGTAACCTGTTTTCAACACTCCCCGAACTCAGCTGGCATACTCTTTTGTTTCCTGTAAGATGAGGAGGCAAATGTCTTCATTCTGTTGGCTCTGTCAGAGCCCCATTTCTCAGTTGGCTGCCTACTGGTGTTTCCCATAAGACCATTCCTTTCATTTTGCAATCTCGATAACTGGGCCAGAGTGAGACATTTGATGACTCATTTCTCTCTCTGTCAAAGAACAGATAGTCAACAACTTGAGCCAAGAGTTTAATAATCTCCCTTTCATAAACAATGCTCTTGTGTGTGACATCACGAAAGTGTGATAACAGATGTTATCTAGGCAGGCTGGTGTGGCTCAGTGGTTGAGAGTCGGCCCATGAACCAAGAGTTCACTGGTTCGATTCCCAGTCAGGGCAAATGCCTGGGTTGTGGGTTCGATCCCCAGTAGGGGGCATGCAGGAGGCAGCTGGTCGATGTTTCTCTCTCATCAATGTTTCGATCTTTTTTCTCCCTTCCTTTCTTTCTCTAAAAGCAATAAAAACAAATTTTTAAAAATGTTGTCTATGAGTACTTGGAAGGCCTGGGGCAGAGTGAGCCTCAGTATGGACAGCCGATGCTGGGTATTAAGGTCAGTCCCCACAGTTGCTTTTTTGGGGAGGGTAGGGTGAGGCTAGAAGGCAGGAGGAAGCATAGATGCACCATCAACCCAGGTGTATTACTTTGCTATTGTTGCTATGACAACCACAAATGTAGTGACTAAATAATACAAATTTCTCTTACAGTTCTGAAGGTGGGAGGTCTCACTGGGCTAGAATCAAGGTGTCAACGGGGCTGCATTCCTTCCAGAGTCTCTAAAGGAAAAATCAACTACCTTGACTTTTCTAGCTTCTAGAAGCCTCCTGCATTCCTTGGCTCATGGCCCCTTCCTCTATCTTCCGGTTTCTCCTTGACTCTGACATTCCTGCTTTACTCTTATAAGGATTGGGGTAGGGGGGAAACAGTGCTGCTTTAAATGCTTCTCTGGGAGATGCATAAAAAGTCAACCACGTTATGAATACCTCTTTCTCTCCCACATTTCCCATTCCTAAAGAAAGGAACATGAAACAGAAAAAATGAGAGAGATATCATGCAGCTCTACAGGTAGAATCAGGTTTCAAAAAGGAGAGGAAGCCAGCTAAGCAGAGTGGAGGTAAACTGCCCAGGTCGTGGTCCTGTCATTACCACTGGCAACTGAGTGACATAGAACAAAGTCCCGAACCCCTGAGTTGCAGCTTCCTCATTTTACCATGGGGCTAATAATTGCTTCTTTTTAGGGTTGTGGTGTGATGAGATGAAGTGACACGTGTTTAGGCATCAGCCATACCTGGCATGTAGTGAGCTGGAGACTCAGAAGCCATCCACCGTGACAATGGGGAAGAGGCTGGCTATATATGCATTGGTGGCTTTTTACCCTGCTAGCTGCTGGCATCCCTACCCCTGATTGTGCCAATGAGTTACCGTCCATCCTGCTGCTTTTAGATTTGACCATGCCTTCTCTGGTATAATTTTATCTCCTGCAATCATGTTCATCATCCTTACCATAGAAATACAAAGGCTCTTTAACCCAAATCCTGGGAAAGCGGTTAGCTAAATATTTAACCAAGGAAGAGAGGAATTGGATTGTACAAAGGGCACTTGAAATACCTTTACGTTTCAGAGGTCTAAAAGCTTTTTCTGGCCAGTTTGCCTCTTAAGGGTGTCCCCCCCAAAATGTATACACACACTGTAAAGACCGTGTTTATTAAAATACATTTTATTTTCAAAATTGAGCTCTCAGCTGTTAAAGTGTGCATACAGTTTTGGGGGACACCCTGTATAACTAGTTCCTAAATAAATGCTACTGTCCCTGGGCAACTTCCTCAAATTTCAGATGCATTATGATCACCAGAAGGGCTACTTAAAAACAACTGCAGGAAGTCAAAACTACAATGAGATCACACTTCACACCCACTAGGATGACTATAATACAAAAACCCAGAACACTGCCCTGGCCGGGTGGCTCAGCTGGAGGGTTGTCCTGAACACCAAACTGTTGTGCTTTCGATTTCCGGTCAGGGCACATATGGGAGGTAATCATCGCTGTTTCTCTCTTCTTTCTTTCTCTCCCTCTCTCCCTTCCTCTCTCTAAAATCAATAAAAACATATCCTCAGGTGCGGATCAAAAAACAAAACCACCCCTGAGAGGGGGGCGTGTGGGAGGCAGCCATTCGATGTTTCACTCTCACATCCCTGTTTCTCTCTCTCTTCCTCTCCTTTTCTCTCTCTCTAAAAATCAATTAAAATCTTAAAAAAAAACCCAGCCCATTTGTGAAGTGCAATACATCGAGGTACGCCTGCATTCATCCTACCCCCTTGCCTTTGGAGGAAGGCTGTCCGGTCAATGGTTCTGTGTTTCTGATGAAGAGAGACAGCCTGGCCAGCCACCAACCCTCAGCCCCTGGGCGTGGAGACTGGGGTGGGGGCTTGGGGTTGGGCATGTGACCTGAACTGAGCCAGAGTCCTGATATATAATTAAAAAAATATATATATCTTTATTGATTTCAGAGAGAGGAAAGGAGAGGGAGAGAGAGAGGGGCATCAATGATGAGAGAGTCATTGATCGGCTGCCTCCTGCACGCCCCCGACTGGGGATCGAGCCCGCAACCCGGGCATGTGCCCTGACCCGGACTTGAACCCCGATCGCTTGGATCCTAGGTCGCTGCTCAACCGCTGAGCCACGCTTGGCAGGGCCAGAGTCCTGATCTAGATGGTGGTTTTTAAATTTATTCCTGGCTAAGTGCGATAATGGTGAAATAACCCTCAGGGACCATTTTGCCGCCACATCAATAGTAAGTAAGCAAAGGAAAGCAGAGGAACAAACAGGAGAGCAGAGAGTTGGAGGTGGGGGTTAGGAGGAAGAAAACTGGGTGGAGGTGGGGGAGAGTTACAATGATCCCAGCTTAAAACTGGGTCCAAGCCAGTTGGTGAGTGAATAAATGCCCCTCCCCCCCCCTTTTTTTTGTTTAACCTAGTTTGAGGTTTGATCCTGTCACTTAAAAGGAAAAAGCCTGAGGCTTAACTGATGACATTTCAACAACAGCATCTGGTTGCATACTATATGATTCCATGTATATAACATTTTTGAAATAAAATTATAGAGCTAGAGAACAGATTTGTGGTTGCCAGAAGTTGGGAATGGGGTGGCGGTGGGGGTGGCTGTGGCTATAGAGGGGCATCTTGGGGATTCCTCGTGGTGATAACAGTTTTGTTAGTAGTTACAGGAAGCTACACATGTGATAAAATTGCACAAAGTATGCCCTGGCCAGTGTGTCTCAGTGGTCAGAGTGTCAGCCCATGCACCCAAGGGTTGCAGGTTCGATTCCTGATCAAGGGCACCTACCTGAGTTGCAGGTTCACCCTGCAACTTTTGTACACCCAAAGGCCTACATGGGTGGGCTTGTGCAGGAGGCAACCAATCTCTCTCTCTTTCTCTCTCTCGCTTGCCCTCTCTCTAAAACATAAAAAAATCAATGGGAAAAATATCTTTGGGTGAGGATTACCAACAACAAAAAATTGTACGGAACTATAAACACACACATAAATGAGTGCAGATATAATCGGTGAAAACTGAATAAACTCTATTGTACCAATGTCAGTTATACGGTTGTGATATCCTACTATAGTTATGCAAGACATTATCATTACGGGAAGCTGGGCTAAGGGTAAACATTATCAAATACATTTTCCTTGCAACTTCCTGTGAATCTATAATTACTTCCAAACAAAAGGTTAAAAATACTCCCTTTAAGACATGCTTATGGAGGGAGAATTACCTAGCTTCCATGGAGGCCTTCGGGTGTACAAAAGTCATAAGGTCTCCTAATGTTTTGGTAAGTAAAACTAAAAATTTGCATCTTTTTGAAGTTTGCCTGGGAGGTCAAAAAATCAAGGCCTGGCTTATTTGTAAAAGATAAGATAAGCCCCCTTGCACAAGCCCAGGCAGGATAGTAAGAAGCTAGGGAAATTCCTTGACCAGCGGAATAAGGGAAATAGACAAAATAATTAGACAAGGCCAAACAATTTGCACTATTTATAGCCAGCTAATAAATCACAAGGCTTTATCTTCCCTAATGGAGGACACTTAGGAGTAAATGGTTTACACATTCCAGACTGTCCTGGGGCTGACCCACAGACAGGCCTCGGTCCTGGTCTCTCTTCAACAGCGTTCTTTACAAATAAAACTAACCAGAAAATAATCCTGGTCCCTTTACACACACATTTTGATGAATCAACATATTGAAGGACACATCTGAAAAGCTAATGAATATTCTGTTAAGAGCCTCCCCGAGGGGTGGGTGGAAGTGGAAGAGGGTATAGAGGGGATAAATGGTGAAGGAAAAATCAAATAAAGAAGAAAAAAAAAGTGTGTGGGGGAAGACCCTCCCCTGAGACCTCCCCCAGGATTACAACCAGCCAAGGAAAGATAAAAAAGCCTCAAGACAAAGGATCCACAGTGCACTCTAGCTAGAGCACACCCACACCTCGGATCTTTGCTGTTTTTCTCCTAAACTCTAAGGGACCCCATGAGACTTGCAACCAGGGAGTAATGGCAACGGCAGCTCAACCCAGGCTAACCCACTGAATCTGCCTCCAAGGCCCCCTTTTCTCCGACTTTCTCCTGTTCCTTCTTTTACCTTAAGGCCTTTTCTTTGTTTCACTGTCCCCAGCTTTAATAAATATACCCTCAAAGTCACCTGGACTTGTGTTCTTCCCTGCACAAAGTCAAGAACCTACACACCACCAACGGGCCCTAGGCAGACCAGCTCCTGGTCCAGATCCCATCTGGAGCGGGATCTGGTAACAAAGCTAGAGCTTTAGAAACAACTGCCAAGGCTGCAACCAACTTTTTTTTTTTTTTTTTAAATTGAGATATAATTGATACCCAATAAACTGCACACATTTAAAGTATACAACTTGATAAATTGAGACATATGTATGTACTCAGGAGACCATCACCACACAATCAAGATAGCGAACACACCCATCATCGCCCCAGATTTCCTGGACCCCCTTTCTGCTCCCGCCCCGGCCCTACAGCAGATACATACTTAGTGGGGGATACAATGAAAACATCACACTTGATTTCTTTTTCTCCCATGATTTCCACAGGAGTTGTCCCACTTTTAAAGATGGCAGCCTACGGCTCATCCAAGGCGGCTCTGGCCATGTTTTCAGCAGTCATGCGACAAGAGCTTTCCAAGTGGGAAGTTAAAGTCTCTACCATCCATCCTGGAGGCTTCAAAACAAGTAGGTGTCGGAGCTCAGGAGCCTTGCAATGTTTGTCCTGGGAGGGCTGCTAAAGGTCCTTTGTTCTGCTCAAACCAAATGCCTTAGGAGTCAACTAAAGAGGGGTTGAGATGGGTGGACCTCTTAAATACAGAGGGGCAAGTGCGAGGCTCTTTGTTTTAAATTTATTTTTATTATTGAACATATTACAGATGTTCCCTC